GGCTTTTCCAAAACCGAGGGGTGATTTTGGGGTGCTGGGAGGGATGGGGGGGGGAAGCGCTCAGCCCCGCCGTGCCCGTGTCCTCCGTGTCCCCGGGATGCCGAGAGGGGATGCTCGGGGTAGCGCTTTGTCTCCGGCTGCCCCCCCCGCAGAGCCTCTCCGGGGGGAGGCAGCGGGGTCCCCCATCCTCCCTACACCCCCTCCGTCCTCCCTACACCCCCTCCGTCCTCCCTACTTTTCCCCTCCAGCCCCTGGGCTCTGCTCCCCCCCGGGACAAAGGGAAAAGGGAGCGCCCCCGACTCCTCCCCCTCGACTCCATTCCCAGTACCACCAGTGCTCCCAGCGCCGAGTGGGATGGGGTGGGGAGAGCTTTGCAAAGCGCTTTTCCCCCATCCCGGCCCCTCTGCCCGGTGCGGGGGGAGGGATGCTCCGCTGCCCCCCCTGGGAGCGAGCCCCGGCTTGGGGTTCAGGGCTGTTCCCCATCCCAGGGCTGAGGGGGGGGGACATGTTCCCCAGCCCTTGTGCTGGGGGGTGGTGGATGAAGACCCCCACTACAACCCAATCTGGGGTTCACACCGTGCCCCAAGATGCACCTCGTGGGGATGACTGTGACAGGGAGTGAAAGAGAAGCTGGAGGAGGAAAAGGATGTGGGATGTGAAGCCTGGCCATGAGCTGACTTCCTCTCACACCAAAATTCGGCTGCAAGAGGCAGGGGGGCAAAGCCGAGCAGCCAAAACAGGTGGGGCAGGTTTGCTTTCCCCCCTCCCAAGTGTTGTCTCTGCCCGGGGCTCCCTGGGATGTGGCCGGGCTGTGCCTTGTGGATGCCCTGCAAAGGGCAACGCCAAAATGCCCCGGAAAAGTCCCGCTTCTGCTCCGGTGGCTGTGTCCTGCACCTCAGAGGGGGGGATTTTGGAATGTGCTTTCTGGGGGAGTTTACACACCCTCGAAAGGGAACTCCCTTCACCACTCTGTCCCTGAAGCTGCCAACCTCTGCCCTTGCCAATGCTCTGGCAGGTTTGTCCCCTCTCCTTCGGTCTCCTCCCCACAGCTCCATGCCAGGGCCTCGCTAAGGGGGGGCTGAGCTGGGCTGTGCCCAGGTACCCACATCCCCAGCCCAAACCAGAGGAGCCAACAGGGATTTTCCCCCTCCCTCTAAGGATTAAAACCCAGCCAAATTAGGGCAGGCTTCCACAGAGTCAGCCAAGGCCATCTCCTTGCCCGGTCCCACGCCTGGGATGTTTCCCCTGAGCCAAATAACTCCAGGAAGAGCAGTGCCTGCTGCCTTCTCCCCTTCCCAGCACCATCCCGGCTCGTCCAGGGGTTGGAAGCAGGCTCTTTGGCCAAGCTGTTGGATGCTCACAATAAACCCCCACCCCCCCACACCCCCATCCTGCCTGCTGGCCCTGGGGCCATCCCCAAAGTTGCTGAAAGGACTTTCCCCAGGGTCCAGCCCGTCTCACCAGCCTGGCCCAGGGTTTCTCCATACTGGACCCCCAGCCTGGAGCAGCCTGGTCCGTGCTGGGAGCTGGCCCAGCGGCCAGGCCAGAGGCTCGGCTGGGAGGGGATCTGCTGCTGCTGGAAATCCTCCCGGCTTCCATTAGCTCCGTATGGAGCCGCGTCCTTTCCCACCCCATTTCCACGTGCCTGGGAGACGTGTGAGCTCACCAGCAGCCCAGTGCCCCCGGGACGGCCCCCCCCTCCCTGCCATCCCCCAAGGGGTGTCCGTATGAGGGCAGGGGGGAGACCCCAACCTGCAAAGCAGGGTGAGGTGTCCCCACTCCAGGGATGCTCTACGTGTGCTGGTCCTGGGAGATGTCCCCATAGACATGTCTGCAACCAGAGCTGGTCCTGGGAGACGTCCCCATATCTGCAACCAGAGCCATCATGAGCTGAGTCAGGGCTGGCTGCAACCCCCCCCACCTCCTCCCTCTGGCTCGCAGGAGCAGTTTTAAAGGAAGAACTGTGAAAGACATTCATGGGGAGAGCAGAGCTGGAAGCAGCCTGGCCCAGCACCGTGCCCCTCTTCACCGGCACTGGCTTTTGCGGGCTGAAAGCTGTTTGTTTGCATCAATCCTGCAGGAATTGAGTATCTGTGGGGGTTTCTCTGCTTGCTTGCAATTGTCAGGGGGGAGGGGGTGTTCGAGCCTGCCAAAGGGGATGTAGTGTGCCAGCAAGAGCATCGTTTCCGTAGGAAACTTGGTGTAACACAAGGCTTGTTGTTCTGCCTCCTCTGAGTCTCCCAGCAAAGCGCCAGGGCTGGAAAGCTTTCCCAGGCAGCATGATCCCCCCCTGGCATCGTGTCAGGTGGGAATTGGGGCCTTGAGATGGCTTTTTTTTTTTCAGAGCCAGAGGCTGGTGATGCTGGAGTGGGTGCTCCCAGCTCCAGCATCGCCCTGGGGCTGCTGTGTGGTGGCCTTGGCAGGTGCCAGCGCAGTAATGTGAGCTCCCAGGGGAAAACCCATCGTGCCCGGGCAGCTCAGGGCACTGGAGCCCAACCAACACGGCTTCCTGGGCAGCCTCCTGCGGGAGAAGTCCAGGACGCTGGTGGGACACCATGCCCAACCTCTCTGGGGAGGTTTGCAGTGCTGCCTCAGTTTCCCCAGGTTCCTCATTCTGTCCCGCTGGCAGAACCAGAGGGCTGGCAGCGCTCGGGGGAAGAGCAGAAACCTGTCCCTTGGGTCTCACAGCATCAGTTGTGTCCTCTGTCCCCAGGCTGCCACTTTGGGCACCGGTGGGTGCCAGCTCCTGCTCTGGCTGAATGCATTATCCTTGTGTCTGCCCAGGAAGGAAGAGGTTAAAATGCTGGGATTTCCTGGCTGTGGTGCTGGGGAGGGAAGGTGACCTGCAGAAGTGCTTTGCATCCTCTGTGGTGGCTTCAGCTGGCCTTGCACAGCGCGTGCGGGTGTCTGGAAGCTTCTGGAGTGAGACTGAACTTGAAACCCAGCTAGAATTGAGTCTTTCCAGCCCAAGTTTAAGCCCAGGCTTACTTAAACACCTCCTTTTCCCCACCCCACTGAGGGCAGCTTGGCTCGGACGCAGCATCCTTCGCCCTCCGCTGTCCCGCCGCGGGGACGTGCCGCCGCGTGCCTACCGGTAACGTCGGGCGGCGAGAGGGCAAAGAGCGATGGTTCAAAGGTAGGAGCGCTCTGGTTTCCCGAGCCTTCCCACCGGCTCCTCCTTGGCAGCGCCGCGTCCCCGCTGGTGGCTTTGCTGGGCTGAGGGAAGTCTTTCCCAGCCCCGGGGCTTGGGGACAACGGCTGGAAAGGGTGAAGCTTTGTGCTTCGTGCTGGGGCTTGGCAAGATGGAAGGTGGGATGGGACGGTGCTGGGGGGACAGTGCCAAGAGTGGGAGGCAGATGCAAGGAGTGCTGGGTCCCTGGGAGATGCCAGGGGAAGGGGGGGGTTTTGGGGTGCCCACAGGGGGATGCGCTGCACCCCACCTTCCACGGGTTCCTTGGCACGATGGGGCTGTTCGTACAGCAGTTTTGGCTTATTTTGGTTTCTCCACTGGTGCTTCCTCTGTGCTAATCTGCTTCCGCCCCGCGCCAGGGGTGGGAGAGGCGGATGTGGGGTAAAAAGTCGCCCCACTCCAGCTGCAAAAGCCAGGCTGGCGGGATGGGTCCAATCCTGCTCCCTCCTGCCCCAGGGACCCCCTGTCCCCATTCCTCCCCCGGCGAGGCCGAGGGTGAAGAGGAAGGAAGGGGCGTCTTTGCTCCAAAACACCTTGCTCTGCTCTCGGCTGCTGCAGGTGCTCGCCCTATGGAGGAAGCTGCTCGCTGCCACCGCAGCCGTCCCCTCCCCTGACGTCACCGCAGCTGGTGACACCGTGGCTCGCTGGGTGCAGCACCCAGGGCAGGCTCTGGCAGGAAGAGCCCCCGATTTTGGTGTCACTGTCACCCAACAGGCACCCCTTGCTGGGAAACCTCCGGTCGAGACATCAGGTCTGGTATGGGATGGGTTGGAGGATGCGGGATGGGGGGGGGGGGGGTCCAGGAGGGTCCCCCCACACTTATCTCCGCTGTCCCTCGCCAGGCTGCCAGGTGAAGTGGGATGAGCGTGCCGGCCGACGAGGCGGGCAACCCGGCCCATGCCATCTTCGAGCAGTTCCTGCGTGCCGGGGAGTGCAAGGAGGTGCTGGGCTGCTTCAGGGAGCTGTGCCAGCAGCTGGGGCTGCAGGGCAGGGGGCTGCAGCTCTACCATGGCCTCAAGGCTGCCCTCAACTACTGGAGCGCCAAGGCCCTATGGAGCAAGCTGGATAAGAAAGCCGGGCACAAGGACTACGACCAGGGCACAGCCTGTGCCAGCACCAAGGTACTGGGAACACAGGGCACGGGGTTTGGGTCCTTCCTTGCCCTCTGTCATTGTCTCCAGGATGAGAGCATCCCTTGGGGCACTCTGGTCCCCACCCCGGGGGAGGATGCGGGATCTGCTGGGTGGGAGGTTGATGGGGTTTAATGGGACAGTGTGTTAATTGGCACCTCTCCCCTCCCCATGGGGTGATGCCACCTCGCTGCCACCCAGCGAACGATGGCCTTCCTCCTGGCTGCTCCTCACTGGGGACATCCCATGGGGGGCTGCAAAGGGGCAGAGGCACCTGCCCGACCCCTTTCTGGGGGACAGGAGCATGTCCCCCTGGAGCTAGGGGACCCTATTTCTGTCCCTTTGTCCCAAAGCTAATGGCTTTTGTCCGCACTGCTGGTGCCTCATCACCCCCTCCATCCTGTGGAGGGGCTGGCAGGAGACCAAACCCCAGTTTTGAGCCTGTTGCTGGTGAAATCTCCCAGTTCCTGGGCTGCCGCAGGCAGGAGACGTGCGTGCCTTATCTCACCGAGCACTTTAATTGCTGCCATTGCCCCTGCGGAGGCAAGGTTCAGGGAGGAGGGGAGGCGAGGGGCACCCCACAGGGCCCCCCACTTATTGCAGGGAGAAGCAGTACTTGCACCCCGGGGAAAAATGGGAATAATGGGGAGGGCCAGATCCTGACCTGGGGAAGGGGGGAGATGCTTGTGGTGGTGCTGAGCTCCCCTGGGAATTTACCTCATCCCCTTCATGCTGCCCGTCCCCTTGGCAGTGCCTGGTGGTGGGGGCCGGTCCCTGCGGGCTGCGGGTGGCCATCGAGCTGGCGCTGCTGGGGGCCCGTGTGGTGCTGCTGGAGAAGCGGGACTCCTTCTCCCGCAACAACGTCCTCCACCTCTGGCCCTTCACCATCCACGACCTGCGGGCCCTGGGCGCCAAGAAGTTCTACGGGCGCTTCTGCACTGGCACGCTGGACCACATCAGTGAGTTTTTTTGGGGGGGGGGACACACTAAGCGCTGCAATCCCGGGGGTCCCCCCAGTGTGGGCAGCCCAGGGATGGTGGGGATGCAGCCCTGAGTGTCCCCCTCTGTCCCCTCCAAGGTATCCGGCAGCTCCAGCTGATCCTGCTGAAGGTGGCTCTGCTCCTGGGGGTGGAGGTGCACATCAACGTGCAGTTCAAGGGCCTTGTCCCCTCCACCGGACAGGGTAGGGCATCACTGGGAAGGGGGTGACATCCCCAGGGACAAGGACAGGGCTGTGGGTGGCTGCCCTGAGCCTCCCCAGGCCCTCTGCTAGCCCGGGGCATGCCTTTTTTGGGGGGGAGGATGAGGTGCAACCTTCTCCCCCCCTCCCTGGATCAGGTCCCAGCTGAGACCCAGCACGCTCGTGACTGTCCCTCTCCCCGCAGGTGGCTGGAGGGCTGTGCTGGAGCCCGACTCCTCTCCCCTCAGCCACTACGAGTTCGACGTCCTCATCTCAGCTGGCGGCGGCAAATTTGTCCCCGAAGGTGACAGCAGGGGGTCCCTGCACCCCCAGGACTGGTATGGAGGGGGAGGGGGAGGCAAGTGGGGGTTCACACCTCTCCCATCCTGCAGGGTTCAAGCGGAAGGAGACACGGGGGAAGCTGGCCATCGGCATCACCACCAACTTCATCAACCACCACAGCCGGGCAGAGGTGGAGGTGGCCGAGATCAGTGGCGTGGCCCGAATCTACAACCAGAAATTCTTCCAAAACCTCTACAACAAAACAGGTGGGTGGTCCCAGTCCTGGCTTAGAATCGTATAGAATCATATGGGGTTGGAAGGGACCTCTGGAGATCATCCAGTCCATCCCTCCCCTGCCAGAGCAGGTCCACCCAGAGCAGGTCCCACAGGAACGTGTCTGGGGGGGGGTTTTGAATATCTCCAGAGAAGGAGACTCCACCACCTCTCTGGGCAGGTTGTTCCAGTGCTCTACCACTCTCACAGGAAAGAAGTTCCTCCTCACGTTTAGGTGGAACATCTTATACTCAAGTTTGTGCCCGTTTCCTCTTGTCCTGTCCCTGGGCACCACTGGAAAAAGACCAGCCCCGTCCTCCTGACACCCACCCTTTAAGTATTTGTATGCATTGATTAGATCCCCCCTCAGGCTTCTCTTCTCCAGACTAAAAGACCCGTCCCTCAGCCTCTCCTTGTATGAGAGATGCTCCAGGCCCCTCTGCTGTACCCTCTCCAGCAGTTCTCTATCCTTCTTGAACTGGGGAGCCCAGAACTGGACCCCCCTCTTGGGAGGGCACTGTCTGTCCCCCCACACCTGCCCCCGAGTGCAGTCCTGGGACATCCCCTGCATGATGGGATGCACGTCCCCGCAGGGTACCCCATTGCAGGGGACATTGGGTGGGCGAGCCCAGCGCGGGGGCTCCCCGTGGCCCTGGTGCTGCCCCGAGGCTCAGCTCAGCCCCTTCTCCATCCCCAGGCATTGACCTGGAAAACATTGTCTACTACAAGGACGACACTCACTATTTCGTCATGACGGCCAAGAAGCAGAGCCTGCTCAAGAAGGGGGTCATCCTGAAGGTGAGGAGGGCAGGATCGGGCCCCCGGGAGCCCATAGGGATGGGGGGCTGGAAGTCTGGGGGGTGGGATGCAAACGGTGGGTGCTGGTTTGGCCTCACACCCCTGGGCTGGTGGGGATTCGGCACCCCCCAGTGTCCTGTGCTGGGGGAAAATCTTTTGGGGGGCCCACAGCCCCAAGGCTGGTGGCACAGCTTCACCCCAGAACCAGGGGGCAAGCACCCCCTCTCGCATCCCGGCCGGCTTCAGCCCATCTCTGTCCCCATCCCCATCCCTGCAGGACAAAGCGGACATCGAGAGCCTCCTGTCCCCAGAGAACGTGAACCGGGACGCCCTCCTCAGCTACGCCAAAGAAGCTGCCAACTTCTCCACCAACTACCGCCTGCCCGAGCTGGAGTTTGCCCTCAACCACCGGGGCCTGCCGGACGTCGACATGTTTGACTTCACCTGCATGACGCGCTCGGAGAACGCGGCGCTGGTGCGGGAGCACAACGGGGCCCGTCTGCTCCTGGGGCTGGTGGGCGACTGCTTGGTGGAGGTGAGGGTCCAGCTTGCACCACCGCCGCATGCCTCAGTTTCCCCTCTCCCTGCCACATGTGCTGGTTGCAATATATTCCCCCTCCCCAAGTGCTTCTCGCCACGGTGCACCCCCACGCCCAGGACCAGGCTCCCCATGTCCCCATAGCAGGATGCATTGGTGGGGTTGTCACCTTCCCCAGCCCCATGGGGGATCTGGGGTGGGTTCAAGGTGGAACCCAGCTTCTGCCCAGACGCAGCCCTACCAGCTCCCTGCGCGTCTCGCCGCCGCTCCCCGCTTTCATCCCTGGCCAAGCCCAGCAGCTCCTGGTCTCCTCCCAGCCGCCCCGACCGGCCCCGCGGCTCCGGCTCCATCTCTCCCTCCCTTTCCCTTTCCAGCCATTCTGGCCACTGGGCACCGGCGTGGCCAGGGGCTTCCTGGCCGCCTTCGATGCGGCATGGATGGTGCGGCGGTGGGCAGCCGGGACCCCCCCGCTGGAGGTGCTGGCCGAGAGGTGAGTGTCCCGGTCCCGCTGGGCTAGTCCTGGATGGGGCAAGGGTGGTGGCACTGAGCCCAGCCTGTCCCTTGCACCCAAGGGAGAGCATCTACCAGCTCCTCTCGCAGACCTCCCCAGATAACACTCACAAGAACGTCAGCCAGTACAGCATCGACCCGGCCACACGCTACCCCAACATCAACCTTCAGGCCATCAAAGCCAACCAGGTACCTGGCCCAGGTCCTGCCATGGGGTAACCAACCAGCCCAGCCTCCCCAGGCATCAGGGTGACACCAATTTGCATGGTCCCCTGTCCCCAAAGGGTGTGAAGCTGGAGCTGTTGGTCCCCAGGGCATTTAATGCATTGCCTGTTGCAGGTGCAGGTGGTTCTGGGGGGAGGTCCGGTGGTCCCCCTTGCCCAGGTCAGCTCCCTGTGCTGGCTCTGGGCAGGTGGTGACCATTGTGTCCCCATCGGTAGGTCCGGGACCTCTACCTCGTGGGCATGGTGGAGGTGGACCACAAGAGGAGGAGCGACAACCGACTCAGCACTGGTAGGAGCAGCGGGTCCTGCCCTGGCCCCCCTGGCATCCGGACCTCCCATTCCTCCTGGCAGCCCATGCCAGAGCCACTCCTGCCCTGATTTTCCTCCCCATCCTTCTTTTCTCGAGCCCTGGCCAGGGTCCAGCTGGCCACCGTGCTCCTCCCAGCATCAGCCGTGTTTCCATCCTGGTGGCACCGCTGGTTTCCGTTCCCTCTGCCCGTGGCCCCGTGGGGACACAGTCCCCAGCAGCCTTTGTTGGGGGGTGGGGTGGTTGTCCCTCTCCCTCCTTCTTTCCCACACTGATGCTGAGCTGTAAAATATTGATAGATGCTTTATCAACCCATTTATTGAGCCTTGGGGGGTGGTTGCATGGCGGGGGGCGGGGGGGTCTTGTGTCACTCCCATGGGACCCCTTCGCACTGATGCTGGGAGGGGGGAGTGGGCTGGGGGGGGGTTGTCCCCTGCCTCTTTGGGATGGGGACACGTGTGTTGCCTGCCCAGCGGTCTCCGGAGACGCCTACGAAGATCTGCTACGCTGGTGCCAGACCAGCACGGCCGGGTACCGCGGTGTGGAGGTGACCGACTTCACCACCTCCTGGACCAGTGGCCTGGCCCTCTGTGCTCTCGTCCACCGCTTCCGCCCCGACCTGCTGTGAGTGCCTACCACCCCCCTAGGACCCCCTACACCCTGCCGAGCCCACCCTGATGGCACTCATGTCTCCCCGCAGGGATTTTGACTCTGTGGACCCCCAGGATCCCGTCCAGACCCACCAGATGATGCTGGACATGGCAGAGCAGGAGCTGGGCATCCAGCCTGTCCTCTCCAGCACCGAGATGGCCACCATGGCAGAGCCCGACCGCCTGGGGCTCATCACCTACCTCAGCCAGTTTTATGAAGCTTTCAAGACCTCTCCAGGTACGAGATTTTTGGGGGGGTTTATCCTACCCTGAGCCCCATCACCGGGGATGGCTGGGTGCCCCCGACTTTGTAGGGAGGGTCCCACCAGCGTGGTTGTGTCCCCTCCATGCAGAGGCGGAGGAGGTCAGCAAGAAGCCATTGTCACCCCATGGCGCACGAGGGGCCATCCTCTTCCTCAGCAAGCTGCAGAAGAGTCGGAACCTGACCCACAAGCGTGCCCAGGTGAGGGACCCCCACTCAGACCCTCGTTATGCCCCAAAACCTTCTCCTCCCCATCCTAGCCACCCTCTTTGCGTTTGCAGGACAGTGCCCAGAAGGATGCTGAGGTCAAGAGGAGCCGCAGAAACGCTGAGGTGGGTCTGCCCCAGATTCCTCAAGGGATGCTCTGCTGGGTGCAGTATCCCCGGAGAAAGGGGGGACACAGGCCACTGACCCTCCCCTCGGGTTGCTCGTAGCTGGACACGTGGCTGGATGGAGACACTGTGGATGGTGCCCACAAGCCACCCCAAACGGCCACAACGGAGCCAGGACAGGTCAGTCCCTTGTGTCACCCCGGGTTGGGGGGCTCCAGCTCTGGGTGGGTGGGCGCTTGGGGGTCAGCGGGCGGCTGATGGGGCTGAGCCAAGGGCTGGGACCGGGGCTGTGCAAGCGAACGCCCACGGGCTCCCGGCTCCTCCCTGCCTGTTTCCTGACCCAACTGGTTTTCCGGAGCCAAGACTTGCCGCTCCCTCCCTGGTGCCAGCAACCCCGTCCCGAGCACCCAGACCCACCTCTGCAAGAGGGGCAAAGCCCCCCCACCGAGGGCTGCCAGCAAAGCCCTGGAGCAGGGTGGGTGCCAGCACCCCGGGTGTCACCCCAACTTGTCCTCTCCCCCCCCGGCAGCCGCCCGCCCGGGGGGAGAGCAGCGACGCCTGTTACTTCTGCGGCCGCCGCGTCTACATCCTGGAGCGAGCCAGCGCCGAGGGACGCTTCTTCCACCGGGGCTGCTTCCAGTGCCGGCGCTGCGGGGCCACCCTGCGCCTGGGCGACTACGCCTTCGACGAGGAGGACGGTGAGGCGTGTTTTGGGGTGAAGGGATGCTTGTGGGGGGGCAAGGCTTCTCCACCTTGCTGGTCATCACATGGGTTTTCTCCCCGCCTCCGCCCCAGGTCATTTTTACTGCTCGCTTCACTACCCCAATCCCCCCGGCATGGAACTGCCCCAGGATGAGCCCCCAACACTGCCCGATGGGGTAAGTCACCATAAATCCCCATAGATTGGGGGGGGAGGGGGGAGGAAGTCAGAAAGTATAGGGTTGGCTTGGACATCGCCCCACGCTGCATCACCCCCTGCTGCTGGCTCTGCTCTAGGATGCCACTGCCGACCACCCGCCCTCGGATGCCGGGAGCCCGTGTGTGTCCCCCCAGGAGGGGTCACCTGGTCCCCTGCAGCCCCCACCAGCTGCCCCACAGCCAGGGGGAGAGCCTGGAGTAGCGGAGGATGCTGTGGATGCTGGAGGCATGGAGGAGCATGGTGGCATGGAAGAACATGGTGACATGAAGGAGTATGGTGACATTGAGGAGTATGGTGACAAGGAGGAGCACAATGACATGGAAGATCATGGTGACATGAAGGAGCATGGTGACATGAAGGAGCATGGTGACATTGAGGAGTATGGTGACACGGAGGAGCACGATGACATGGAAGAGCATGGTGACACGAAGAAGCATGGTGACATGGAGGAGTATGATGACATGGAGGAGCAGAAGCTGCTGGCACAGCCTGGGGGAGACATGAAGGAGGAGGAGGGTGCTGGACCGGAGCCCCGAGGGGTGGAAGAGGAGGGTGAGGAAAGCGGGGGCAGGAGGAAGATTGTCCTCACACCCCTGGAGAAGCTCAAGCTGTCCACGCTGAACCTCACCAGTGAAGCTGAGCCTGAGCCGCCGCCAAAGCCGGCTCGTCTGCGGCTCCAAGCAGCACCTGAGGTCCTCCCTGCCCTGGGGTTGGAACAGTGTGCCTGGGAGGAGGAGGAGGAGGAAACAGCCATGGAGGAAGGTAGGTGGCTGCAAGCTGGAGTCTCCAGCTAAGCAGGGCTGTGGGTCCCTCTGGTGCCTGGCCATGCCCCATGTCTTGCTCATTGAGGGACAGGACCAAAATGACTCTTTTCTTGGGGCAGGTTTGGAGGAGAGTGACAGTGAAGAAGAGAAGGAGGAGGAAGAGGAGGAAGGCACAGATTCCAGCATCATGGCAGACTTGGTGAGTGCTTTCCCTGAGCCCCATGGTGGCTGGGGCTCTTCCTGGCATCTCCTCTCACCGAGGCATTGGCCCTGGCTCTGCTGGGGCAGCAGGTGCAGGGACTGACCCACTGTCCATGCCACCCTTCCTTCACAGTTCGTGGACCTGGGGGAAGAGGAGACATACCCCACCTGGAAGCGCACGCTGACCCGCCGGGCCAGGGAAGCCCAGATGAACCGGTTCTGCAAAGCCCAGGTAGCCCCACGGGGGAGAGCAGGGTCCCCAGCACTGTCCCCTCCATCCCACTGCTGGTGGCCATGTGCCAGGAGGTGCCAGCCCACAGACGAGCGCTGCCCTTCCCTTGCAGGCCATCCAGAGGCGGCTGGAGGAGATTGAGGTGACATTCCGGGAGCTGGAGCAGCAGGGCATCAAGCTGGAGAAGTTACTCCGGGCTGAGGATGGTAAGGCCAGGGTGGACGAGCCACCGTGACCCCCGCCATGGCCAGGGGTCGGGGTCAGTGCCCTGCTCACACCCCCGCTGTGCCACCCCATAGGTTCCCCAGCTGACAAGAAGACACAGTGGATGAACCAGCTGCTGTACCTGGTCCAGAAGAAGAATAACCTGATGAGCGAGGAGTCAGACCTCATGATTACGTAAGGTTTTGAGGGGATGTTCCCCGGGTGGGGGGATGGGTGCAGGGGGCTCAGGTCACCCCAGCCCCCCGAGCCCAGCACCCCCTTTCCCTCCCCACAGGGTGCAGGAGCTGAAGCTGGAGGAGCAGCAGTGGCAGCTCGACCAGAAGGCCCGCTACTACATGAACATGGAGGGTGAGTGCCAGCACATGCCCGGTGGGGGGGTCCCTATGCATGGTAGGGGGAGCAGGGATGGGGCTGTGGCCCCTCCCTCCAGCCCCGCTCCAGCTCCCTGCTCCCGCAGCATCCCTGAAGACACCCGAGGATGTCGTGGCAGAGAGGGAGATCCTGGCTCAGCTGGTGGACGTGGTGAACAAACGCAACGCCCTCATCCACATGCAGGATGAGAAGCGGCTCAGCGAGCAGCAGGCCTGATCCCTGCAGCCCCAGGACCTACCAGTTCCTCCCCGGGGTAGGGGACAAGTGGTCCCTACCCCAGCAGAGCATCACCCTGAGCTGCTTCTGAAGATGGTGATGTCTGAGCTGCCCGCAAGGAGCTGCCGCGGCCAATCCAGGTCCCCGCTTGCCAAAGCCTGCTGTGGAGGGGCCAGGACCTGCTGGTGGATGCCCATGTTGGGAGACACCGAGGAGCACCCCAGCTTTGGGGTGCAGAGAGGGTGTCCCCACGCTTGGCTGGATTGCCTTTGCCTTGTGCTTGCTCGAAAAGATTTGCAGGGGGCTACGAAACACGGGGCTCTGCCCTGGGTTTGCTATGAGGAGGAAGAAGCCCTACAGGGGAGTGGGGTCTCCCCAAGATCAGGGGGTCCCACAGCCATCACCCCTTCGAGGGGACACTGCCTGGAGGCTTGGCCAGGGCATCCAAAGCATTTTGTACGGCAGAGCACTTCGTGTGGTAGCTCCATCGCTGCCCAGCCATCCCCGTGCCCCGGGCACTGAAGAGCTTCACTCGCGGCAGGGAGGACATGACTGTGGCCACCACAGGCAGGTCACAATGGAGATGCCAAATGTGGAGGGGCAACATCAGGAGTAGCCCCTCGAAGCCAACCCAGAAGGTCCTTTGCAGCTGGGGACATCCATCCTAACCCAGGACAGCCATCCCAGCCCAGGACATCCATCCTAACCGAGGACATGGAGCCCAGCTGGGGCCATCCATCCTAACCCGGGATGTCCATCCTAGGCCAGGAGATCCATCCTAACCTGGGACAACCATCCCAGCTGAGTACACCCATTGTAACCTAGGACATCCATCCCAGCTGACGACATCTGTCCTAACCCAGGACATCCATTGCAGCCTGGGACATCCATCTCTTCCAGGGATGTCCATCCCAGCCAGGGACATCTGGCTCTACGAGTTGGGTCAGTGACAGACAGATGGGGCTGACGCCACCATTCTCCATCACTGCTTTTGGGTGCTACATCCACGTTGTCCCCAGCCACTGCAGGAAACCAGGGTCAGAACCCCACTGCGAGGTCGCAGGGGTCCCCAGGGAAGGGGCTTTTTGTCCAGCAGGTCCCCATGGGGACTGTGTGACACCGAGGACCAGGGATGCCAGCAGCCGTGTCCTCCTTGCCCCTTTGGGTATTCCCCTGCTTGGCAATGCCAAACTGGCCTTTGCACAGACTTCTCAGACCTTTCTGGGGTCCCCTGCTGTTGTGGGGTGGCCTCCACCGCCAAACGGTGCTTACGGCAGCCCCAGCCATGTGGGACAGGGGGGTCCCGGGCGCGGGCTCCTTCGGTGCCTCCCCCAACCCTCCTGCCCACCCTTCGTTTGTACCAGCCCCATTATCCTGCTGCAACCCCCCCCAATTCCCTTCAAATAAAGCCTCCCTGACCCAGTGCCAAGGGCTAAAATACCGCATTTATTTTCTATCCGTGTCAAATCTGGTTGCCGGAGCAGTCGCCAGCTTTCAGCAGGAAGCCCCCGAGGCCGCCCCGGGCAAAGGGAGGCTGAGCCTCTTGAGCGTCCTGGCCATGCTGGCGGGTCCCTCCGGATAGAAAGGGAGTATTAAAAAACATAGCAATTAAAATCCGTCTCTGCCGTGGTTCCTACCGGGGGCCAACGGAATGAATCTGCCCTGAAAAATCTTAATTTCACCCAGAGAGGTGGCTGTCAAACCCACGCTACCGAGCCGGCCGCAGCGCTGCTCACCTAAAACTTGAAATCAATTAGAAAAGGGGACCAAAAGGGGCCAGGATGGGGCTGGGGACACACACACACACACATTGTGGGCCACCCACGTCCCCAGCTCAGCTGTCACTGGGACGCTCCTGCAGTGCCCGCAGGGCCATCCGCATCTGCTCCTCGGTGCCCTGCAGCATCTTCACCTCCATGGTGTGGAAGAGGTGGAGGCCGGTGGCGAGGAAGAGGACGCCAATGGCGAGGAAGGCCAGCAGGGCAAAGGAAAGCTTGGGGAAGGGTTGCCCAGCCCCCAGCCCCGCCAGCGTGCCCAGGGCGGCCGCTGCCTGCAGCAGCAGCAGCAGGAGGGCCAGCACAGCCATCCTGCCCGTGGAGTAGCGCTGCCCCTGCGCTGCCCGCAGCCCCACGCCCACCTCTGTCCGTGCCTCCGTCACCACGTCCGCCAGCGTCGTCTCTGCGGGGGACAGGGGCGGCTCAGAAGGATGGCACCCCCCCCTGCACCCCCCCCTTTTTCATAGAACCATCGAATGGTTCAGGTTGGAAGAGACCTTAGAGATCATTGAGTTCCAACCCCCCTGCCCTGGGCAGGGACACCTCCCACCAGACCACATTGCTCCAAGCCCCCTCCAACCTGCCCTTGAACCCCTCCAGGGATGGGGCAGCCACAGCTTCTCTGGCCAACCTGGGCCAGGCTCTCACCACCCTCACACCAAACAAGTTCTTCCCCACATCTCAGCTCCATCTCCCCTCTTTCAGGGTCAAACCCTTCCCCCTCGTCCTATGGCTCCCCTCCCTGATCCAGAGTCCCTCCCCAGCTTTTCTGGAGCCCCTTTAGGGACTGGAAGGGGCTGTAAGGTCTCCCTGGAGCCTTCTCTTCTCCCAGCTTTTCTCCCCATTCCCACCACTCTGCCCTGTTCATGCACCCCTCCACAAGCAGCACCCCAAGGGATGCCCTAAGCAAGCGGAAACATCCCCCAAAACTCCATCCAACTCCACCAGTTGGCACAAGGGGAACCCTGGCAGTCCCCCCCACTCCTTACCAGCTGTGCCCTGGGTGTCACCCGCAGCCTGTCCCTGCCTCCGGATCTGCAGTGTCGCCATCACGGCTTCATGGTCCGAGAAGGGGATGTCCATGCCCGGGGCTGTCCCCTTAGTGGTCTTCAGTTCTTCGCACTTCACTGTGAAGCCGGAGATGGCCTGGGCGAGGGGACGGTGGGGAAGGTCACACCAGTGTTTCATGCCCCCCGCCCCCCACAGCTGGTGGCCGAGGGCCCCCCCGTTACCTTGTAGAGGATGTAGTCGATGCGGATGCCCAGTGGGAAGGGCAGCAGCTCTGACTTGACAGTGAAGCAGTTGTTGGGGACGAGGGTGCAGCCATCCTCGCAGCCCTGAGAGCAACCACCTGGGTCGGGGGGGGGGGAGTGGGGGGGCTCTGGGTGTATCCCAGGACCCCGGTAACCCCCCCGCCCCAGCCGCTCACCTCAAAGTGTGTGGCCTCAGCGAAGGCGTCCCGCAGCCCCGTCCAGCCCCGCAGCAGCCGGATGCCCAGGTCTTCGGGGTGCATGTTCAGGTCCCCCCCCACCAGCACCACATCAGCTGCCTTTGAGGTGTGTCTGCGGGGACGGGGACGGCTAACCCCCTTCCCCACCCTGCCCAGTGCCGGACTGGGATTACCAGGACCCCCCCAACAGTGCTCCTCAGCCTTACTCCTGGCTGGGACTGATAGCAACTGGGAGCTCTCTGCAGTGCAAGCCCCCGGAATGGGGGTGACTGCACACACCCTGGGGGACCCCACGGGACACCCCACAGCTGCTCACCGGATGAACTGTGCCAGCTCCCAGGCCTGCACCAGGCGGTGGGGCAGGTAGGCGTCCTTCTCCCGGCAGTACTCGGCGTGCAGCTGGCAAGAGAGGGAGGCAAAGTGGCCATGACCCCCCGTGCTGGCATCTGCCCTGCTCCTAGGCTCCCTGCAAACCCACCCAGGTCCTCTAGATGGTCCCTTTGGGGTCTGGCCGACTCCTGCCTTCATCCCATCCCCCTGGGGACAGCCTGAGATGACGCTTACCCCACTGCACAGCCAGGTTGTGGGGTCACTGTCCCACTCCCCCAGCAATATTTCATTAAATCAGTGCCTGGGCCCAGGAGGGGTGGTCCAGAGCAATGGTCAAAGCAAGGGGACAGTGAAGGAGGGGTACGGCCACTCGTCTCCCCCCTCCCCATCGTCATCCCCCCCCGCCATGTCTTTCCCCAAAATGCTCACGTGGGTGACGTAGACGTTGAAGATGATCCCGGAGATCTTAACGATGACAAGGCCGACGGACTTGCCGCCGAACCAGTCCCCATGCTGGAGCTGAGGAGAGGAAGGGGAGCAGGCTGGGGTCAGTGAGGCTTTGTGGGGCTGGGCCCCATGGCACTGCGTGCCCCCCGCACCCCACTCACCATGTAGGGGTACCCGTTCAGTGAGTACTGGTAGAGGAGAGTGTCCAGGATGGGGAACCGGGAGAAGACACAGAGGCCGCTGCCGATCACCCCACTGCGGGAGGGGAAAAGCGGGGTGAGGCAACACGGTCCCCCCTTCTTCTGCCCCCCCAGTCCCAAGCCGAGGTCCCTGGATGCCTGGGTCCCAGTGTGATCCCATGAGCACCCCCCTCCCCAAGCATGGGGTGTCCCTCGGTGACAGAGGTGACCTACAGCACCCGCACTGGTCTCTCCGTGTGGCAAACACCGAGGAGGTGGCACAGCCCTGGCACAGCCCCATGGACAGCCCTGGGGGGGGGCAGGGGGGCTGACCCGGACCCCTCTCACCTGCGGAAGTAATGAGAGAAGGGGTAGCAGCTTCCCAGCTTCGCCTTCAGGTCGCTGTAGTCCTGCTCGCTCCACACCTGGAGAACAGCGGGACAGGCTGAGAACGGGCATGCTCATCTCATGGGCTGGGAACAGGCACACTCGTCTCATGGCTCACGGGCTGAGAACGGGCACGCTCAGCTCACAGACTGCCCTCACCTCCTGGAGAAGCACCAGGTCGAAGCCCTCCCGGCGCAGCACGTCCCCGATGAGCTGGACACGCTCCTGCCGCCGCTTGCTCAGGTAGCGGATGGCCCTGCCGGAGAGGGGTGGGACGTCACAGCTTGGGGGGGACGGGGTGACAGGGGCTGTTGGGACACGCCGGGACCCGAAATGGGGGAGACAGGGCTCCAGTACTGGTATGGGAAGGATACAGATTGGGGGAGATGGGAGAGGAGGGGGAAAGGGCCATGTGAGGACATGGGGACAGGAGGGAGATGCAGGGACATCTGTCCCCCTGTTTGGGGACAGCTTTTCCTGCCTGTAAAACTGAGGCAGATGGTTGGGGTGCAAATGGGGGGACCCTTTTTTGGGGGGAGCAGGCTCAGACAGGACAGGGGGCACTGCTCAGCCGAGCACCTCATGACCTGGGGCTGGGAGAGTGCTGCAGCCCCAAAAAGAAAGGGGTATGAAGGTGACACCAAGGTGGGACCCCTCTCCCGGTGAGGGGGGTCCCTGTCCCCACCCATGCACCCCGGTGAGGCCACGGTGAATTCTGGACTCACCAGCAGTTGAGATCGAAGACACGGAGTCGCAGGGTGGGATCTCCCTCCATCGCTCACCGGGGCTTCACCAGGGTTGGAGGAGACCGTCGGGCAGAGGGGGGTCCTGCAGGGAGAGAGTTGGGGTGACAGCCTCGAGGAGCTGGCGCAGGGCGTGGGGCAGACCCAGGGTACCAAGGGCATAGGGGCCGAGCCAAGGCAAAGGCCGGGAGGGAGGAGCACTTGGGGTGCTCCTGGCACGGCCCATCCCACACCCCAACTTGCCCCCAAACAGAGACCTACCTACCCAAACCACGGGTGACCCCTCCATCCCACAGATGGGGACACGGGGGGGCCAGGGGTGGGGTACAAGGCTCAAACCCCTTGTCTGTCAGCAAGATTTGCTCCCGAATGGACTTCAAACCCCGGGTTCAAAGCGGCGCTGCGAGGTACGGGCATGGGACACCCCACCACCCACCTCCCCTCTTGGGGACCCCATGGACACTGTGGAAGACCCCAAACCCCATAGCCCCCAGCAGCTCTCACCGCAGTCCCAGCACTGTTTGCCGGGTGGCTCTGACAGCCCCGCTTCCCCCCGACCCCCCACCTCTCCCGGGGGCACTGGCGGTTCCCGAGGGGGCAAAGAGCGAATGCGGGGCTCCAGGAGGCGGGGTGCTGACCGTGGGGTGCAGGGAGCTGGGAACAGGCAGGCGGGTAGAAGCAGCCAGGTACAGGCAGCCAAGTACGATCAGCTGGGTACAGCAGCGGGGAACAGGCAGCCGGGCTGTGCCTGACCCGCCGGGATTACCGAGCGGCTCATCCCGTCCCTGCGCCGCGCTAATACCGGCGTCTGCTACCGGGGCTGAGCACCCCCTGTCTCCCCCCTTACCCCCACCCCGCAGCAGAGCTCCCCGCGGGACCGGAGCCGGGGCGGGAGCGCAAGCGGGTCAGGAGCGCGGAGCAACAGGCGGAACCGGGACGGGAACGCGGAGCAACAGGCGGAGATGGGGAGAGGAGCGCGGAGCGACCGGCGGAACCGGGGCCGGGACGCGGAGCAGCGGGCGGAGCGCGGCGGGGGGAGCGCGGAGCGGGGCCGGGGCGCGGAGCGGACCTGGGGCGGCGGGGGGGGCCCGCGG